CCACGTTCCCACCAGTGCCGCTCAGGTCAGAGGGTTTCATTAACCTGACTTCATACCCTGCAACACGAGAGTCCCAGCACCCCACCAGGAGAAAGGCAGCTGAGCTGTAATGGCTCCCATGTACCCCTCCTCCTCCTCCTCCTCCTCCTCCTCCTCCTCCTCCTCCTCCTCCTGCTCTTTCTTCTCTTCCTCGTTATTCGGTCTGTTGAGTTCAAGTCAAAAAGAATCTGTACAGAGAAAAGCTTTAAGGATAGCTTAATTTTTAATAAGTTTACTTATTTTTTTAAATTGTTGCTAAGATGATAAATAAGTAATAAGTTTGCTAAAGTGTATTCCTGGCTTGGCTGGGTTTCCTTCCCTCTATGTAATTTATGATCTACAATTTTGGCTCTTCTCAGTCCCCCTGTTTATCACTTGGTGCACTCCCTTGCATACCTGTATGGCCAGTGCTGACTTGCCTGGAGCTGGAGATGTGCCAGAAAGACAGCCCCAACACTCTGCTTGTGAGGAACACTGAGCACGATGCTAACTGGACATTTGCTCTAAGTCTGACCATTTTTATTTTTATGTTATACTTAACCATGTGTTTGAGGGACTATTTTTCACCAAGAACATAACAATCAAAGCAGATGAGCTGGAGGAAGAAAAGAGAGAAAAAATGCCTCAAAAAATGAAGAGCAACAGCACAGGAGGAGCAAACAAGATGTAATAGGAATATGGTGGAAGTCACCCAAAGTTGAACTGAAAGACTTAAGAAAGAGCAGGGGCATAGAGCATTCATTGCCAGAAGCAGTGTATCCTAGACTGATCCTTAATTGCTTGATGCTCCACTGGTGGGTCTAAGCTACAAGTGGGCAAAGGTAAATCAGGAACTCAGGCTGTTGGAAAGGCTGTCCCGTCTCAGGGGTGTGTAAGTGAGGGTTCAATCCATGGCCTTGAAGCAGCGGCTGCAAATGCTGAGGCACAGCTGCAGGGATGCCTACAAATTCAGTACCCAGCACAAAGGTTTCCTTTGCATCGGAGGTGCTCCCAAGGGCCACTTTTGTGTAAGAATACATGTCCACAGTTGAAGCCAAAGTCTCTGCCATTGTCAGAAAAGCAGTTCCTCTTTTGAATTCTGAGATGACTGTAGGGGAGGAGTTACTGGCTTTTACTGCTGTGGGTAGCAAGTCTGTTGCAGTAAGGCTCATCTTTCTATCTTAATGCTTTCCACATCATTCACTCTCCTAAATTGTACCCTACAGTTGTTTAGAAGGTTCTATGATCTTCTTTGTTGCTGTATTTGATTGGATAATTTGGTGTTTGCACCTCTGTGCCATGTCACAGTAAAATACAGCAGATGATCACTCTGCTTGAGAGGGCTAGAGTAAACAACAGTGGTCACACAGGAGGCACTTGGATACCAATAGGTCAGCTTTCAGTGGGTCCTCCACCTTCTCCCTACCCCAAAATTTTTGCCACTGCGCAGAAAAAATAATCTTAACTTTTCTGTATTTATATATTTTTATGCTTTACAGCTGCTGGGTTACCCAACTGAAGTGCAAAGCTAAAAAATCTGTCTAGAGCCAGAGGACATGGGTAGTTGCAGCTGTATTTGTTCTGCAGCACTGCCATTAAACACAGCTGTTTGTCACCAAGACAGGCAGGGGGACCTCCTAGCAGGGAAAACACAGATGCGCTGAATGCGTAATAGTTGTAACACAGAATTTGTGTGTGCTTATCCTTGTGTCTGTATGTATGTCTGTGCATGTGTGTAGATATATGTGGCTATAACCAGAACTGAGCTTTGAACAGTACTGACTTGAGCAAGACATGTACTTGGCAGGGACCTCTATGTGATTAACACTGACCAGGTCTTTAAACCTGGCTGGTGATTTCATAAAGAGAAGGTGAAGCATCAGCCATGCAGACTTTTACTCATGTGAATAATCTCTCTGACGCCAGTGGGGTTTTTCACTTACATGCAAAGGTGTTCTCAGGCTAAGTCACCTCTGTTTTGGAGAGTCTCACTATAGCTTATTCTAAGAACAGGACTTGGCTGATCCTTGTGGTGAAGTTTGCAAACCTGTATTCTTACTTTATTTCCAAACCAGATGTCAGTCATGAAGATGTACACAGTTATCTTATTCAAGGTTTGATTTACAGCCTTTCCAAAGACATAAATAAGGGTTCCATTTTTTTCCATGCAATGAATTAATGAAGTGACTTAGCTGTACTGGAAAGTGAATGACAGCCATTGCTAGCAATCACTGTGGCAGATTAAACCTAGCAAAGCAACATGGGTGACTGATTTCTGCTCCTAGGGCAGTACAAATTGAAAATGCTCTGTGTGACACCCATGCTATGAATCTTGATAAATGGAAGTAAAATCAGAATATAACTAGATGCAATGTGTTTAAAGACTAGAAACTGAAGGACTGAAGACAAGTTAAAAAACTGAAACATGCAGCTGTTGCATATACTTGAATCCTTTCCTGACTGATAACCTGGAACATTCAAGCTCTATGTATGATCTGTTCTCTACACATGTCTTCTGATACTATTGATCATCAAATAGACATGAAGGAATTCATTCTTAACTCTTCCTGGAGACAATATGTATGGTAGTTTTATTCTTGTTTTACACATGCAGAATTGTGGTATAACTGACTTGCACAAGGGTAAGTAAGGGTGGGAGTTTTTTAGTAAAGGGGCAAAACCAGAAATAGAAACCAAATCTCTGTTGTTTCATCTCGTGGAAAGTTAATGGTCTCAGCCCCTTCCAAATCTCACTGAGCTGGGTTAGGTGGGAGCATACCAGCAGTGTTGTAATGCTTTAGATCTTGTAAAGATACAGCCTGTGGCTTCTACATGCTGAGATTGGCTCCTCTGCTGCAGTCAGTGTTTCTGTTTTGAAACTTCATTTACCACAGCAGAAACCACAGTGGGAGGAGGGAAATTAAAGTTAAAAAAAAATAAAAATGTCAAAGAGCCAGTTTCACATGTTAATAGTTTAACAATGTTTTAATGTAACAGCCAAACACATGACTCTTACTACTTTAAAATGTGCTTGAGGAATACAAATGTTTTAAAATAAGGGTGGACACATGTGGAAAGGTACAGGCAAACAACTTTCTCAGCTCTCCTAAGGAGCTTCATCTTTACATTTGGATTCACTTAAAGCAATTGCAGAGGACATTTATTTTGGGGAAATGAAAACCTTTGATTTTCTAGATTCTGTATCTCCTACTTGGAAGCAAGTGTTAGAATAAGACAGATTCCTGGAGAATCCCTTTTGCTGCATTTATATCCCCTGGCATCCTGGAACTTTTTTTATGTTGCTACCAAATCTGTAGTTTGAGCTCCTACAGGCTCAAATATCATGGGACATTTCTGCATCCAAGTGTCTAGGAAATGGGACTTTCTACTTTTTGGAAATAGATAAGCTTGCCCTAAGGACTATAGCTGACAAAACTTGTTCTCTGACTAGAAAATGGAAGCCACTGAACGCTGTCTAAGTGCTAAAGATAAAAGAGAGCAGCATGAGAAATACCTTGGATGAACAGTTTGGTGATCTGAAGATACAGATGAATGTATATATGTATGCTCAGTACAGCATTACTGAGCAGCTAGAGGCTTGGAAAACCAAGGGTTTGCACTGAGACACTTTGAAGTAATAGGTCTCTACAGAACTGCAAGGAGATTGTTTAATCAATGTATTGAAGAGAAAATAATCTTCTACTGTTTGTTTCAAAGACAGATAGAAGTCTGCACATTAATCAGGAAAATGGTGGTGACTTTTGCTTACAAATGAAATTATATGTTACATATACAGGAGGATGAACACTATTGTTCTAGTAATAGCAAAATATACTATGAAAATACCTTAAAAAGATCTCCTTATAGAAGTAACAGCTCAAGGACTATTCATTTGAACAAGTTCATTTTATTTCCCACTTTCTTTGCTTCATTTTGTTATACCAAGAACTAGAACTGCATTCCTGGAGGCGGAGATTAAAAGGTTTTGAAAAATCCTGAAAAACCACAGAGTTGCTTTTTCTCTTCCCTATTATGCTCTTGTGGGTACATGCAATGGGAAGCTCCTTCCCAGCAGTGGCAGCTTCAGGGCTGGTCTCAGGGTTGCTCCCCCCAGAGCATGGCAGGAATAGCTGGGGCTTGAATCATAACTTTAAACTTGGGAATTTTCCCCTGGGCCCACAGGCTTAGTTTTGAAAGCAATTTAGCAATGTGGGCATCTTCATGACATTTATTAGATTAGAGGTGGGTATCAGAAAGATCTGAAACTGTGTTCTTAGGATACCGAAATTTGCCTATTTATTAATTTCAAAAGCTGGCGCAATGAACAGCAAGTTAGATGTGTGACCTTACAGTAAATGTTTGCTTCTGACTTTCAGAAGAATCAAAAGGGATGATCAAATGACACTGGGGCTATTGTGATCATCCAGTCCAATTCTCCAGAGTAAAGTCATACTTCAGTTTGTAAAGCTGTGTTTGCAGTATATTCTGTGTGTCTTTTTCTAAAATGCCTGGTTTGCCTTTTAAAAACCCACTCAGCTACAAGAAGATTATAGTAAAGTATTAAGGATATTTTTAAAATTTTCAGTGTTAAATTTTTCTGATATTCAAATACAGTTGCAATTTTAAAAATGTGTGTCTCTTCTAGGCCAAGCTTTTCTAATTTTAGCTTCCAGTCCCTGAATATTCCCGTGCCTGTCATAGGTGGCAAACCATTTTTGTTAGACAAAAAGCACACTCATAAAGGTGGAATGTGAGACTGCACTAGGTAGGGACACTTGTAAAAAAGTTGATGCCCCATAGCCAAACACATTACAGCTTTAATGCTAAAAATAGTAGAATTTATGGTCTTTTTAAAAATAGCTGTCTCTTTTGGCTACTTTGGGAGTCTATGCATTTGCTAATTCTTAGTGCACATTGTTCCTTTCTTATTTTCTTTCTCAGGAGAGTTGTATTGTTCTTTGCCCAACCCTAGGAATGTCCGTTTTGAATCTATAAATATGAAGAATGTCCTTCACTGGTCAGCACCAGAAGGCACAGGTGATGGAGTAGTCTACAAGGTGAAGTATGCAGTGTAAGTTGGTTTGTTTATTTTATCTCCTACTGAATTTTATTTTAACATTTTAAATAATAATTTAAAAAGAAAACCCAACTTTATGCAAGGTATTGCTGATATAAAGTAAAGAAATAACTAAAGTGTGAGCTAGACTTAATCAGTGTGGTTTTTAACTTCTGCTTCTGGCACTGTTTACCTCACAGCAATTAAAAAAATGTGTAAGGAGATGTTCTTCCTATGATAGAAGTGTAGGAAGAAACATTCTAATACTAAGGAAGCTTTTGAAGGCATTCCTCCTAATATGAGAGAGAAGAATAAACACCTGTGCTGTGGACTGGTATCTGTCCTTATACATCCTCTGTACACACTTAAATGGATATGGAAATGTATGGTTCAATCACATAAATACCCAGTGTGTCATTGCTCTTTCCTGACAGACCCACTCCCCCAGATTTTTTCTGATCCAGCAAGGCTCTCTAGGAGAAAATCCACCAATGTTACCGAGCTTTGTACAAAACCAAGTAATGTGGTTGGAATCAGGTCCTTACATTGTCAAGGTCTGCACCTTAGTAGGGTATCAAGGAATTTGCATGAGAACCAGACTTCATTTCCTTTATTCCCACTGAGAGAGCACTGTGTCATTCTGAAGGGCAGTGCTAGAAGTTTGGCTTCTAAATACGTGTAGCACTGTTGTCACAGATCATGTAATGCTCCCAATCTTTACCTCTAAAATTTACACTTCCCTCAATCTAAGAACATTTTCAGAACAGTAAAATGATTGATGATACCTAGAAGTTTCCTGTAACTTAAGAGTGCTGAGCAGTTACAGAGTGAAGGATAATTATTGTCATGGTTTAGGAATAGTGTTCTCCAATTCAGAAGCTCTGCTGAAAAAACCATGGTGCCACTTGCTTCCCCTCCACCTCCATCTGGAAGCACAAAAGACAAAGGTCACAGATGGAGCTAAGAACCATTTACTGGAAACAGCAATGAGATTAGACAATGAGCAGCGACAGCAGCAATATTAATGATAAAAACGTACAAAAGAGAGAGTGCAAAGGTAACCTGACTGCAGCCATGCCACCCAAACAGCTCCCTCCGGTCAGGACCAGTATTACCAACACTGCTCCATCTGCCATGTTTCCTGCATGGGGAAGGAACACCTTTCTTCTAGGAATGTTCCCCTGGCATTGATGGAAGATGGCATTGAATAGTATTAGAATTTTGGCCATGCCCACACAGCTCCAGGCTCCACCCCCTCATGGTTACTGCAAGAAATTAACCCTGTCCTTGGCAGAAACCAGGACTTGTATGGGAGGTAGAATGTTCAGAGAGAACTGTCTGCACTGACTCTGAAAGACCAGCTGGTCCATGAAGAGTCTGTAGCCATAGATATGGCCGTCTTTCACACTGCACACAAAAACACACAGGTGCCTCTACCCACCCAGGCGAGAAAGGCCTTGAGATAGGTGGAAAATGCTGGTGATTCCACCTGGAAATCCAGCATTTTCCACAGCAGAAGCTGTCACATGCCCTTATTAATTAGCAGCCAAAGGGGAAATTCTTAATGTGAATTATAGGAGCAGGAACTTCTGAGCAAGTCCAAACAGGAATTTTCCAAGGAAATCTTGGTTTGTTCTACCAGTGTATAAAAGCTGGTCAGTACCAAGGCATTGTTGATAGGAGATATGTGGCCTTTTTTTCAACTAGAAGGGTTTTGAAGTTCATTGTGTTCCAGTTAAGACTTTCTTTTAAACTAGAAAACAAGGCATCAGGCAGGAATGGTTTCCTGTCATTCACCTTGGAGACCCTGGGCATGATCTGTGTCCATACTTGAGGATTAGTCACTGACCATTCGGACTGAACTCTTTGTTTCCATATAAATAGTTATCCTATCTCTGTTACAGTGTGTATAGAATCCAAAACAGAGCTGTGGAGAGATCTCCAGTCTGCACAGGCAAACCTTGACTTAGATTGGTATCACTAACATCCCAGTTAGTTTCATCTGGCTTCTTCTGGAGAGGGCCTACTCTAATTTATTTTTCATTAAGTACTTGTGGAAGTCTTGTGCTTCATCTCAGCTGAAGCTGGGATTCCTTGAAATTTCAGATTTCTGCTAAATACAGAAACTGTTTTATCAGCCGTAATAAAGCAGAGAAAATTATATTATGAGGTGACTAATAAAATGGAAATAGCTTTTATACAGCTCCTTTCTCTTTCTTTTCAATATAGATACGGTGTTGGCAAGTGGATTAGAAAGCCAGAATGCAGGAATATAAACAGAACATGGTGTGACCTCTCCAGTGAGACCTCTGACTACGAAGAACAATACTATGCAAGTGTTAAAGCATTCCTAAATGGGGCATGCTCTGACTGGATGGAGACCACACGATTCAACCCTCTAACAGACAGTAAGGAGAGCTAAGCACACAGCCAGATGTTCAATGGCCTTGATTAACAATGTGTGCTCAGACTTCACGTGCCTTCACAGTGTATGATATTTTAATTTTAGCATGAAGTTGCATTTTTTCATTTGTTTCACATTTATTCTTATATTCTGATTTGGACAGAAGTAATTAAAATGATAAAATTGGAATTTGTATATATATATATATATAAAATATATATAGTCTGGTATATACTGAATTCTTTATAATGCTATCGTAAAGCCTTACTCAAGGCAAATAAAATCTGTGACACATTCACAGTATAAATAACTCTGATTTTGAAAAGGCTTTGTCAAACCAATCAGTAAGCATATTCTAGAGCCCAATGTTTCTTATCTGTGCCAGATAATCTAAGAAAATACTGGTAATTCAGCCTATTTTAGTAAATTGAGTTTCAAGGTTGTTTATCCTATGAAGTCCCAGGAATTCTTTGGCAAAACTCCAAGTCAGTGTTCACTCTCACTGTAAAGATCCTCTTAGTTATCTGATCAAATAATTTTCTTCCAATGTAAATAAATTTTTCAAAGCTCTACTTAGACTCCCCCAATAATTGCAAAAATGTAGTATGATCAGTTTGATGAAACTGGTCAAACCAGTGTGCTTCTGCTGAATTTGATGGCCTTTTGTACATGTTCGTTTTTCCAGCTAAAATAGGTCCACCCATGGTAAGTGTATCTTCTACTGACAGATCTATTTCAATCATTTTGACTGCTCCTGAGAAGTGGAAGAGAAGTCCTGAGGAAGAATCCATATCTCTGCTTCAAGTGTATCCTGGCCTACAGTACAATGTGTCTGTCCTCAACAAAAAAACGAAGAAGCGGGTAAGCTTTGACAAGGCTTTGGAACTGCTCCAATTAAATCTGTGCTCTGTGCTTCTTGAAATGCCAAGATTAGCAAATATGCAGTAGACAAATGTGGTTTGGTGGTTTGGTTGGTGTTTGTCTGGTTTGTTGAGAGTTTTTTCACAAAGGTGCAGGAAATATAGCAATAACTTTACTTTGGACTCCAAGGTCTACAAAAATTCTGTTCCCTAAAGCTCCTGGCTTTTCTAGAACATACCAGTTTGAAATATTTTGTGGGACCACACCATGTGCATGCCATGGGGGTGTGTGTGAGGACAGGGCTGGAATGATGCTTTAGCTCTATTTCAACATCACCACAGGAATGTGGCCAGTAGTGGCCAATGGCCCTGCTGCATATGAAGCATGAAATTGTTCAGTAGTGGTACAAGAATCTTTGATTGGAAGAGAAAATAATCAGATATGATGTGACTTAACAAGTAACTTGAACGTTGATTGCATTTGGAGGAAAAGGATACAGCTGGCAGCTCTTAGAGTATCAACCTTTCTAGAAAATGTGTATGCTTGTGACCTTTCTGTGGTTCAGGAGTTAAAGGGGGGGAAAATACTTTTATTGTCTTCCAGTGGTTCTTCTCCATCAGCAACAACACCTTGGTTGTGCCCTGGTTAGAACCTGGAACAGCTTATTGTGTCAGTGCACAGATACACGTCACCACACCAGTTTTGGACAGTGGCTTTTCCAAAGAACATTGCATTACTACATTGAGAGGTATGTGTGAGGTGGCAAATTAAAAATAAAAAGATGCAAGTTAGAAAAAATCATGGTGATTGAATTTTTGAGTTTTTTATGTATCTAGTTTGACAATGAAAATTAGCATGGTTTCTTCCTTCTCTGTGCACTTATACCAATAAAAAAAAAAAAATCTTTGCCTCTAATAAAGCATAGCTGGGACTGACTGGAAGGTTCATCAGTACCTCAGAAGAAAATTGTCTGCATTCTTTGAGTTTCAGTGCATGGAGAATATTTTTTCTCCTTGAATGTGGTTTGGGAGTAGCAGAGCTAGGTCAATCTGAAGTTAGCAACAGGAGAACCTAAGGGAGTTGTTACTTCTTTATAGAATTTAATTTAAAATTTAGACAATAATAATAACTACCCTGTAGCTCAAATAATTTTTTTTCCATTTCCTGGAAATTCCTTGTTTATCCAAAACATTTGCATTCTGTATCCAAAGTGCTGTGTGGTGAATGCACATATTACTGTCTACATACATTAAAAAGTTGCTTGTTACAATCAGAACTTTTGTTTTATTAACAGACAAAACAGAAGATGAGACTATAACAATTACATTTGGATATATTATGCCTGCTACGCTGGCTCTCCTTTTTATTTCTGTGGTATGCTATTGGGTGCACAAGTATATTCACATCCACAAACAAAAACATCCAACAAACCTGGTAAGTGTCTTCTGTTGCAGGAGGTCACTGCCAACCTTGGCACTCACAGCAGAGCTGTGTGTTTTCCAGAGTTATAAGCAGGCTTGGAGGTAACTGTGGCTAGCTCCAAATAAAAGCTCTAGTTGCTACTGAGATCAAGAGAAGAAAACCACATTGAGGGTTATTAAATGCAAGAAAAACAGTAATAACTCAAGTTTGCAATGATCAGAACAGAGCTGTTGGTTTTGGAAGAGTCGTTGCCTTAAGCAAGGTCTGAGGTACACTGGGCAAGGTCTGTCATGGTGTCAGAACTCTGTAAATTTATCTAAGATGAATCACTGTGTAAAGTCATTTGGACAAAAGTTACTTGTTGAATACAGAAACAAGAAGGGAAGACAATTAACGAGTACAGAAACATGATTTTTTTTTTTACTATTACTGGTTATTACCAGATTTTTTACACTTAATTGTGATTGTGAAGGGTTTAACACATATGTTTCATACAGATAATTTAACCTGGATTTCAAGAATACTTTGAAATATTGTACCGTTTCCTAACACCCAAAAGTGTATAAACTATTACGTACTGTTATTTAGACAGGCCAAATACACTTTTTGCAAAAAAAATGTTCTGAAATTTCTTAGTGCTGCAAAGTTTGTTGATTTTTAGAAAGAATACATAAAGTCTAGGAAATGTTACTCATTTCCAGCTCGTAAGCTCAACAGAACTTTCTCACAGGTATCTTTAAGCAAGTTGCTTAACCATAAACATGCAATTATAATAATGAATGAAAGCTTCAATGTTAATCCAATCTGTGTGACACCGTGGGATGGGAGACACAAGGCAGTTGGTTTCAACATGCTCATTTTGCTGCAGAAGATTAGAGAAGTGCAGCGGTGACAGGAGAAATCTTCAGAGAGGGACTGCGAGTTCAGAAGGGCTCAGAAGGATTGGAGCAGCCGCTGCTGCAGTGCGTTCAGACGTGCACAGAAATGCCTCCTGCAGCTGAGGAGGTGCTGGCGGTATTACAGAGCCGTGGAACCACAGAGTGGTTTGGGTTGGTAGGGGCCTTCAAAGGTATCTAGTTCTGACATGGGCAAGGACATCTGCCACTACATCAGGTTGCTTAAAGCTCCATTCAACTTGACTTTGAGCACTTCTTCTTACGGGGCATCCACAGCTCCTTGGGAAACCTATTCCAGTGCCTCACCACACTCACAGTAAAGAACGTATTCCTTATACTCAGTCTAAATGAACCCTCTTTTATTTAAAACTATTGTCCCTTGTCACTACAAGCACTAGTAAAAAGTCTGTTTCTGTCTTGTTCTTTATCTTTTGTTCCTGGGATGCAGGTCATGGTATGAGGAGATAGCTTGGTCTCTTGGGGAGCTAACAGGACAGAGGTCTTTAAAGTCCAAGAGCATGAAAGGCTACTTCATAAAAAATTTCCACTCAGTAGCAGACTAAACTCCTAACTCCAGGAGTTATTTTCTCTAAGATGTAATTTGAATGTTGGGAATTTTTTTATGTTCATTGCACTTTTTAATGACCATCATGGAGCTTCAATTTTATTTCTCCACCTCTGGATTCAGTCAACATTAAAGTAACAAATTTATATAGACCTGGTATTTTAATTATGCTCTCTGGCTTTCCCAACATAGAGACTGTCCCATATGTGCACCCTGTGTGGCTGGAGGGACATGAAATAAACTGTTTGGTCCAGCATTTCTGACTTGTGCAACCTTTCAGACTACTTGGTACATCAGTTAGTGGTCTTAGTCTTCCATTCAAGCTTGAAAGCACTGAAATGCACATTCTGGTTGTTTTTTCTGTTCACTCCACCAGTACTCACACAGTGTTGATCCCTGTCAAAACTTTTACTCATTTCAGAAAGATCCTTATGGTTTAATTTGATGATTTTGCACAGATTAATAAAAGCAGCCTGTGGTGGACTACACAGTGCAGGCTATGTACACTGTGCTTCAACCTGATGTGTAGCTTTCTCTCTGAAAGGAAACCTGCTATTATTTTATTCTCTGTAAGTTATACATTAATGTTACCTGACACTGCTTGTGGGAATGGGTTGTGACTGCCTTTTCTCTTCACTGGTAAAAAGGAGTGGAATAGATTCAGTAATTTGTGGCCCAAGAGCAAAGACTGATGTTTTCTCCAAAGTCATATGAGTTTATTGGTTGATTTGGAAACACAACCTGTATTTGGCAGAATTGTTCTAGCCATTATTTTGATATGAGGATGAGGGGCAAAGATATAAGAAAACTTATCATAATATAGCTTTACTTTAGATAGAACAAAAAAAAGGATAGCTTACTGACACTCTTGAATTTTTACATTATGAACTTCCTTCTTCCCTAAGTTGAAATAACCTCCTAATAAGGTCTAGCCTAGCATTATATTTTAAAAATATAAGGTAGTATAAGAAGATTATATTTTTATTATACTTCACTCAAAATATTACTTACTTTCCAGGTATGGCCATACACTGACAAATGCAAGGAATGGGTCTTCATACCAAGTGAAAAAATAGTGCTCAACCTTATCACTGTTAATGGGGACAACGGTGAGGAATCCAGATATCTGTCGGAAGGGAAAAGTCCCCATTATAAGACAGTTCACAACGACACTGAAGGGAGGGATTTGCCTTCTGAACAAGTGCTGAAAGCAAGATATTTGCTTGATTTTTCCTGTGAAGAGATTTCACTCAAAGAAGATACTTTAGTGGAAGAGAGCCAAACTGGAAACTGGGCATCTCATGGCTGGTCTGGAATACAGAATACTTGGAGAGATAAAAATGCAGGGGTTGTAGAGTATGAGCATGATGTAAGGACTGAAGAAGTTGGTCCTGATCAGAAACTAGAAGAGAAATTTTCTGCCCCTGGGGGGCCACAGGGTGAGCCAAAGGTTGCTTTGGGGGACTTGGTTGATATGGAAACAGGACAGCCATATTCCCCCCAGCTAGAGATATGGGTAGGAGACCTTTGTTTGGGACAGAAAACAGAGGAACTTAATTTGAAGGTGGTTGATGCAGCAGATGAATTGCCAAGTGAGACCCATATCAAATTCATGGACCTGGATACTGAAAAATCTGGGCAGACATCCTATCATCAGCTGGAAGAAACCACACAGGGCCTCACAGAGAAAGAAGGTATGCAGACCATATTAGTTGATTGGGATCCTCACAGTGGAAGACTGTATATTCCTACTTTGTCCAGTGTTGAAAATCAGGTGTGTGAAGGAGTATTCAAGTATGATCATCCTGACAAAGACAGAATTTTGCTCAGACTCTATGAGAGAGAGGTATCTGGTGGATCACCTGAGGACCAAGCAATGTATCTCCTGCAGTTCAAGGAACAATGGGGACTTCATGTAGAAATGGAAGACTGAAAAGTAATTTTCTAAAATATTCAAAAATGCAAAATCTTGTTTATTTTGCTAAAGAGAGTGATAAACTCAGGGAAACAGACATGTCTTAATGTTTTGAAGTTTTTGGAACCATCACAGTTGAACAATTTATTCATCATATGTTATTTATAACAGTTTCCAGATGTGGTATAAATTATTATGACATCAATCGTAAACCTCTTGTGTAAAATATGATTGTTGTGAGGTGATACTCTTAAAAAATAAATAAAAAAAGAAAAAAATATTTTAAAATAAATATTTTTACAAAAGATGCTCCTGTGGGAACCCCAGGCTTGCTCTGAGGTCCCATGTGGTGGTGAAATTTCTCCTCCAACCCGTGCTTCCAAAGAAAAACTGCACAGGCTTTTGCTGTTTGGTCTCAAGGCAGTTTATTGTTAGTTATCTAAAAGATTGTCTTCTCGGGCTGCGGCTGCTTGGTCAGCAGCCCAGGCAGAGACACACACACCCTGACATGCTCTCTGTCTGCTGTCTTCTTCTTCTCTCCCCCACCCAGGGCTGCTGCTATCTTTTATATGATATATTACGTATTACATGTTTATAGTTTTCCCCCAATACCTACTACCTATATTACAAAGTGCTTTTCTACTCTAAACCAATCTGTGAGTGCCAACATCACCAAGAACATGGAGGCAAGGAAGAAGAAGGAGGAAGAACAAGATCAGCCCACTTTCCTCAATCTTAAAACTTCTGACCCCCATGTACAAAGTAAAAACCCTCCTGTACAGGTGCTAAAACCCCCCTGTACAATACTAAAAAAATTTCCCCTCTGTTTTGTAACTACTTTTACTATACTATCTAACCCTTTGTGACTGCTTGTTCCACCTCCAAAGTTGGTAACTCATTCCATGGCTCAAACTCAAAATCACAGCTGTTTCCAGCTGTCTGCCAGGGTCTAAAATGCTTCTGACCAAGGCCTGGAACCTCTAAAAATGTCTGAGAGACATTTTGAGTTCCAACATGCTCCCACCTTGCAATCCCTTGCATTACCAGCAGTTATTTTTAGGGGAATAAAAACAACTAAACAAATTTTTAAAATGGGTAAAATGTAGGGCAAAGGAGTTCAGTGAAATGGTTGTAATCTACTGGCTGGACCATGTCTTGCCCAGCCCTAGAGACAGGCAGCTGCGCATCTGTCTGATCATGCCCTGTGAGTGTGTGCTCCTGTCCGTGGCAGGAGCAACTCAGAGGGAGAGGTGAGCCCCAGACTCATCACTGCTTCAGACACTCCACACTTGCTGTGCCACACCAGGGATGTGCTCCTGGGGGCTGGCTTTTACTGCCTGCTGTCCTCATCAGCTCTGCTGCTGCAAGTTCCCTTTTTCTTCAGTCATGTGATATTTAGGATAGCAACATTACAGGACATTCTAGAAATCACTTACTAGGGCAGATGGCATTTTTCTTTTCAAAACTTGTCACTTTTTCACTAACTGAATCTTTTCCCTCCCAGTACACCAAAAAAAAAAACTCACAGTAATGAGTTGTTTGGTTTTCAACAGGATAATCAAAAAGCAAAAAAAATCTGTACCATTTAAAAATTTGTATCTTTCAAACCAGGACATGGTTAGGTGTTTTTTTAAAGAATGACCTTTACCTAAACACTTTTTCTGAGCTGTTGCTGTTGGCATGACCTTAGCATTCTCTGTGACTGTTCATCCTTTGAATTGTTCAGTTGTAGTCAAAGACTTTAAAACCAGAAATCACATTAGGATATTTCTAATTTTTTCAAATTTCAGAAGGTAAAAATTGTCCTCAGCTGATTTTTTAATAAAGGTATCGATCATGCAGCAGTATTACACCTATGTTACTAAACACCTTTGTTCATGAGGAATATTACAGAAGAGAATTATAGCTTAGTGTAAAAAAAGAAAATGGTTGGGGGAAGTGAATTTTTTTGCTCCCCAAAAAAATCAGTCATTCAAAATCTTTCTCAGTATTTTCTAAAGATTTCTTAACTAACCTCTTTGTGCATGATCTTGTCATTTTCTTTTGCAATGTAGGGCCTCTAACTCAGGGGTAGAAAATAATTATTTGCTTTTTTCTAATAGCCCCTTGAATTTTATCCAGTTACTACTGTCCCTCACTTTGCTCAGTGTATACCCATCAGTGTATATCCACCCATATGGGCAGATGAGGATGTTTCAGCCCTGTAAATATTTTAGTGTATGTCAACCAACATTCCTTGAAGAGGAATGGGTGTGTGTTTCCCCTGGCTTATTTGCCAGCTGCTGGTGTCTGCTGCTGTTTTTTCTGTTAGGTGAGCAAGCCTTGCACCAACAGTTAAGTATAACTGCTTGTAAGGATATTTAACCTACCATAATCAACTAGTTCCTGATTAAAATTTGAAAACTTGGTTGCTTATCCACAGAATCTAACTTCATTAAGTTTTTTTTTTTTGTGATTGTAATCTTTCACTGCATCTTATCCTGTTTTGTTTTGTCTTTTTGCTTTTTGGTTGGTTTTTTGTTGTTGGGTGGATGTTTTCTTGGTTGTTTTTGTTTTTTTTCTTTTCAGTAACAATTAGGTTGTATAGCATTTTTTTCCTCTACTACTTGAAAAGGCATCACCTTCCTAGTTAACAGTACTTGTGATTAAAATACAGTATACTGAGATTCTTGCAATAATTTTCATGAAAAATTTATACTTAGGAATAGTAGTTAATTTTTGGACCAAAATATTTGTGATAGAAGTTAGCAGCGCTTTCGGTGTTGCTTCCTTTTGATGAGAATTTGCATTAAATTCAGAACTGATACTAGATTATGCAAACAGTCTTTCATATTTATAAGATATACTTTGAAAGTGTTTTCAGAGTGATCACAGCAAAAAAAAAGCACTGGTGGAAAAGATGTTAATCAAGATAATAACTTCCTTTTACATGCAAAAGAATTTTTCAAGTTATCTAGTCAAGTTCTGGAATTGATGAAGCAGACATAATAGTGCATATTTCCATCAGTATAGTATCAGTAAATTGTTGATTGCCTTTTTAATATCCTCAAAGGTACACATATTTTTCTTTAAAATCTTCTAATTATGTTAATCAAATTAAGCTGATCAGACATAGTACTTTCAGCAAACCAGTCAGCAAGGAGCAAAATACTACCACGTAGATTTGTAAAATAGTTGAGGGAAGAGCCAAGCAGTAAGAGACCTGACATGTTCCTACTCTTATTGCACTTTATTAGACTTTGCTTAGCCACGTTTAGTAGACTTAATGCAGCCAAAAGCAAGATCATAATCTAGAATCATGCACCTAGACTACATATTATACTCAAACACAAGATTACCTGGAGCTGGGAAAGCAGCAGTTTTGAAAATTTTATAGGAGAGGAATAGAATGAGGAAGCTGTTTGTTGAGGACAAAAGAATGTCTATTTCTTGGTTGTGATGGCAATAAAAGCAGACCTTTAGCTGTGTTTACAGACCTGATGTGACTACTACTGGAAAAACTGTCTCTGGTTTACAGTGTAAGTCATGAAGATGAAAGGCAAGTGCTTGTATAAATGGCCAAAGCAATGCACTTCAGAGCTTGAAAAACAGGAAACCTAGCTATCAAAGTGAGATCTAATGGTGATGAAACTGATAGCTAGGTGTGGGCACACACAGTTTTGGAAAAGTAACTATAATTGTATGTAAGGTACTGCTGCCTACTGCTTAGGCAGAGTGAGAGGGGTACTGAAGGAGAGACTGAGACAGAGCTGAGTGCAAGATACCTGTGATCTGATATAGAGCAGCCCTGGAGAAGCTACTGCAGAATGAGAATGACCAGATGTCCAAATGCATGAGGGAAACATGCAGTATGAGTCCCATGTCTGGTGTGGTAAGGCCTGCAGACAACCTCTGTGGCCAGTGGGGCCATAAGGTTAGCCATGTGAGGGATCCATGATAACTCCCTAGTACATGATACAAGATCACCAGTTACATGAAGGATGGGGAAATTATAAAGAGGGCTCCAGAGATGGGGTCTGGAAAGGGTAGCTAACACTATTACTTAGCACATATCTTCCTATGAATAGCAGGGAAGGTCCAGCAAAGGCCCTGAGAAACATTTTCTAGAATGTTTCTAGAACTATGGAAACATCCTGAGCAAAGAAATACTTCAAATTACATAACTATCACATACACAGAAACGTTCAATTTCTACTGATTTCAAGTTAAAATTTAAGTTATGCTTTAGGTCTTCCCTAAAACTGAGTGAATTCCTGAATTTAGGACTAACAAACAAAATAAAAATAAGTCATGTCCATATGGTCTAACCTGAAAACTAGGCTTAACCAGACAGAATGGTTGGGATGTGAAGCAAGTGACATTTAAAACAGAAGAGCAGCATGGTTTGAATATTTTAAAATATGGACAATTGACTGTTTACTGAAGTCTGTGAAAATGTATTAATGCCTGTAGGTCTTTCAAACAAGTTTGTTGTTCTTTAACAATAATGCTAACAATGGGTGGCATTTCTTGACTGGAATATGCTAAATGTACAATGATATTCATACGTTGTCAAGTCTTAAAATTTGACTAATCCCTTTTTTCCCCTCTTTAAATAAGAAATGTTTGCTCATCTCTACAGTGAAGTTAAAAAAAACCCAAAGAAAACCCAAAAAACAGTCACTCCAAGCACCGTGGTTTTGAACAGTTGAAGCTTTTATATCTGACGTGATTCATTCTTGCACAGTCAAAGATTTAAACCTGTTCAGCCATTTGACATTGTCCATACGAAATACCAAAGTTCTCCTTAAAAGGAAGACACAGCAGCATGTCAAGATTTTTCTGCCTTGGTTTTGCATGTAGGTTTCAAGCTTGATCAGCCCAGTAGCACATAACAGTAAGCGTAGGAAGTAATTTTCATGTTTAATGCCACCTCTTAGAAACCATCAAAATTTTGTTAGTTTAATTTTTCTTTCTTTGGTTAAAAAAAAAAAAAGAAAAGGAAAAAAAAAAAAAAGGAACAAACAGTTATCCTGTTT